ATATATATATATATATGGTGATGTTCTAATAAAAACCTAGAAAACTAAAAACCAATCCTAACCCTCCAATCTATTTAATCCAATGGTATTGATTTCAATGGCAGATTTGAAAATAAATACAACTTTACTACACATCAGCTGCTTTTTATTATGTAAAAGAGGTAAAATAGGAACCATTTATTAGTGTAAACATTGGAATCTACCCAAATTGAAGTCTCCCCCGAAATTGAGATCCCCAAATTAAAGCGCTCTCTCTCTCTCTCTGCGCTCCAGCTCACGCCGACGCCCCGACGCCCCTCGACGAGCTCGCCGTCGAAGACCATCGACGAGCCCACGCCGACGCCGAAGCCCCTCGACGTCGTTCTCGACCAGCTTCGAGCTGGTCGAAGCCCCTCGACGCCGTCGACGAAGCCCCTTGACCGCCAAAATCTTCTCTTAAAAAAAAGAAAAATTCCTGTCTTGTTTGTTTAGCCGACGCTGAAGCCCCTCGCCCTCAAAATCTTCTCTTTTATAAAAAAAAGCAAAATTCCTGTCTTGTTTGTTTATTTTTGTTCACGACGTTTCTTATTCTTTTTGTTTTTTATTTTTGCAGATTTGCTATTGTTTGATAACGAGTTTCAGTCCAGTGAATCTGGATTGAATTCAGGAATCTTGATTCACTACAGTGAATCTGGATTCATTGGAGTGAATCGAGAGCCATATATAGTTAATATTTATTTAATTACTGTTCACAAGTTGGAGTTAATATTTATTTAATTGTTGTTCATAAGTTGGTGGTCTTGTTATGTTGTGTTGCTGCTGATGTGCTGTTGTGCTGCTACTGAAGTGAAACTGGATTCGCTAGAGTAAATCTGGATTCAATCCAGTGAATCTGGATTCATTGGTTGTTTGTTGCCCCTATTTTATGAAGAGACATGCCTGTAAAATAATGAATACGAAGGGATGAAGTTTCTTTCGCATCAGTGACTATTTGAAGTGAAGTGAATCTCGATTCACTTTAGTGAATCTCGATTCACTTTAGTGAATCTCGATTCACTTTAGTGAATCTCGATTCAATACTTCAGTGAATCTCGATTCATTATAGTGAATCTAGATTCATTACAGTGAATCGAGATTCATCCACTGCAGTGAATCGAGATTCAAGTTGTGCTGTGTTGCTGCTGCTGGGTTGCTATATATAGTGAATCCAGATTCACTCCAGTGAATCGAGATTCATTTTAGTTTGTATATTAATGGATTATCCTGTTCAACTCTTATTCTAATATAACTAGTTGAATCTAAATTCATAACGATGAATCTCGATTCTGTCGACAATTTATGAGTTATTTTGAATAACTGTAACTTCAACATGACACTATCTTGTTTGTATCTTTACGGTGAAGTCAAATTTGTGATTCGGTTTGACTAAAACCAAATAAACCAAATTATCCTCCGTTTTGCATGATAGAGGCATTTTTTGAATTATCGTCTCAATACGACGCGACGTTCGTACACAAAGTTATGGCCTTTCAAGGTTTCACAACTATCCAATACAATTTTTAAATTTTTTACCAAATCCGATACTGAAATGACTTGAGTTTACATCTTAGCTGCCTAAATCTAAAAATAAACAAGAATGATTATATCAATAAACATAGATTCACCATTGATAAATCAAAAACTGAATTGAGATTTAATCTAGATTGAATAATATAATGTTACATTTGTACAGGTAAATCCAGATAGTGGGCAAACATAAATCAACTATTTTAGAGTTACAGATAAACAATATAAATCGATATTCAATAAAATTAATGTACAATGAATCTTAAGTGAAACAATGGATCCAATGGGATAGGTTCTCTTCATAATTCAATAAAATTAATGTACAATGAATCTTAAGTGAAACAATGGATCCAATGGGATAGGTTCTCTTCATAGACTTCAGAAGACTTGCGTTTGCATGTGGATGGCATGGATGAACGGAGATTCACTACAGTGAATCTCGATTCAATGATGTGAATCGAGATTCACTGAAGTAGATTCATTTCAGTGAATCGAGATTCACTGAAGTGAAATCAGATTCATCCCGTTGTATTCATTGTTCCAATGTCTAGTCACATAGGTTTATCAACTCCCTGAAAAAATAACTAAATCTATGATTTTCAATTTAATTCAAGAGTACGTAAAACATGACTTTTACTTAAACTAAATTTGTATTTAGTTCAGTGAACATCGATAACTTATATTGAAGCTAAAATGTATGTTTGTATTTAGTTCAGTGAACATCGATAACTAAATAC